GAGTATTGTTAAGGGACATAAGGAGGAAGATATTTTATATACAAGAGACCTTGGAGAAATGATGGAAAGAAAAAAAAACAGACTAAATGTGGGGGTGGAAGAGATAAGGGTATACAAGGAAGAATTGTTCAGTAACGCTATAGCCAGCCAATGAAAAATGAAGAGGTCACTAACGCTATAGCCAGCCAATGAAAAATGAAGAGGTCACTAACGCTATAGCCAGCCAATAACTAATCAATAGCAATTTTTCTGTTCTTTGAAAATTATTGACTTGGGGCAACATTTCAGCAATAAGATTTTCAATTCTGAGTAAATGATATGTCAGAGTACAATGCATAATAGAAAATTAAATATGGGTGATTATTAACACCTAATTCTTGGTTGTCCAGAGATGTAGAAATCACATCCAAAGGATCTGGACTGTAAACACTACACCCCCCAGGTGACACACCCACTGGCCACGCAGCTTTTCTTTTTAAATCAGTTAATCTCACAAGATGCAGTAAAGGTGATGTTCTGTATGCCCAAAGTTACATTTCAGTCCTGGCAAGGAGGCTTCTGACTGGAGGGCTTTGTCCTAAGAGAATGCCTGATATCTAAATCATTTGACACTAAGACAGCACCAGTTATACCATAGACACTCAGTGACCACATTATTAGGTACACCCAGCTAGTGCCACATAGGACCCACTTTTGCTCCAAGAAGCCATTTTGTACCCCTCTGGTGTAGTAAGGTGTTATTTTTGTGCTTCTAGCACTGCTGATTCCTTTGAGTCTGCATCTGAGTTTTTTGTTCATCACACCATGAACTCCAGACACTCTAGCGTGTGAAAATACCAAGAGGTGCCGGAGCCACCGCAAATGGCACCAGCTATCACAACACTTTCAAAATAACTTAGATCAGACCATCTTAATGCTTAGATGAACAGTAAGTGAACCTGTTGCTGTGCTGTATTATACGCCTTGCCAAAAGATTGAAGCCCCTTCAATTGAGAGACTTGCAAGCTGAGTTTGCAATAAAAATACTGACAGAAAGAATATGTTTATGCATCATGTGTAATTCAGGCAAATCTGACAGGACTCAGTACTTCTCCAAGGCACTGAGTGTTCAGTTGCATTTACATGATTTTCTGTTTGAAGGTCCAGGCTACATGCATTTGTAAGCAGGTGTACCTAACTAGCCACTGAGTGTACAAGAAGACTTCACTGCATCACTTTTAAAGAACATTGGGGGGAAAAACTGCAATGCAAGAATGAAAAGAACTTTAAGAAAATAAGCTCCCACCAGCACTCATTTAACATTAATGGACAGTGGTTCGATGCAAGGAAACGTTATATAGTTTCTCCAGACTGGTTACAAGGCATTAACACATTCTGTGCAGGGCAAAGTCACACAATAAGTAAAGTGGTTATAATGCACTAGTGACCTGCAGGGAGATTACTTTTTATACATTTTTTGTAAATTTGAGTGACAGATCTAAATTTGAGCAACAGATTTTAAATCCAGTTAGCACGCTACACAAATGCTTGCATGAGAACTAAATCAGACCCGCTTATGTAATGCAGGATTTAGGCAAGCCTGAAGCTAATTCCAGGTAGCGGCAGTTCCAAAAAGGGTGTATGTTACACAGGATGCCAGCCAATCACAAGGCACAGTGACAGCCTATGGTCAATTTAGAGACATAAAACAGTTTTTCCCAACCTGGTCCTCAAGGATTCCACATATTAGCTCCCATCCAGACAGTTCACATTTTTGCTCCCATCCAGACAGTTCACATTTTTGCTCCCATCCAGACAGTTCACATTTTTGCTCCCTACCAGGAGCTGGGAGAGAATAAAAATGTGGACTGTCTGAGGGATCCCCAAGGACCGGGTTGGGAAGCACCGATATAAAGAACATGGAGTGCACAAAGGAAAACCCCCCCTTAGAGAACATGCAAATTGCACACAGAGACATTAACGGGAATCAACGATGTATTTCAGGGCCAGGGACTTCATGTTGCCTGTACACCCTAACAATTTCATTTTTGTATGCTACATAAAAATAATCCATATTTAGGAAGAAGAAACTGCACTGTTTAAAAAAGATATGTTTCACCATTTCCATTAATTTGACATCTGCATTTTGTGAATTCCCTCACTGAGTACTATAAAAAGGATAACAAAAAAGAAATCATGAATGTAATGAAAATGTTACCCTCAAAAAATTCCCGCATATTGAACTGTATTATGGATAGAAACATAGCATTTGTTAAAACGAAATCATAGAAGCGTAGCGTAACATGATTAGTTGAGTTGTTTGTAATTTCAGTGTAGGTGTTCTTGCCTGCTGAAAAATGATCTTATACGCTTCACTAGCCAACTGCAGTATATTGATTGATGACAGGTATTTGATTCCAAAGCATGGAAAAAAAAGACAAATGATACTGCTGGGATTTGGTTCAGACCATATAACAAAGACAACTGAAAGCATCAGCAGATGGAAACTAGTAGGAATTTGTCAAAGAAATAATCCATTTCTCCAGGGATACATTCCATTGAAAATACATGTAGTGCTGCAAAGAACAATGTAACAGGTAGCATAGTGAATATTAGTTTTAAGTTTACTATTTTAATTATAAATTTGTAGCTTCACAAAATATCTCCATGGTGACCTTTGTCATGGAAGCCAGTTACTCATTTTAGTATAAGCAGGCAAGCAGTACTGTGAGGAATGTAGAAAAATATAATATTCATGTGTATTAAATAACATTATATGAGAACTGTACACAAATAAGTTTAAGCATTTATGACATGTAAGTAGTCTGAGTCTGAGCTATCAATTACCATACCTTGCCGACTGTGACCAGAGTTTCTATAGGGATAGAAAATCACTTTTAACATTCTACTGGGAAGGCAAAAGGGCCTTGTTTTGACCATCTGCTGCACCTTCTGCATCATTGTTTGTTGAGCTGTAAGTTCCCTGCTATCTTTACCCAAGAATATATAATATACAACCATGATTCACCCTTGTCATCTTAATTATGCCTTTGCATTTATTATTATCACCTTGTGAACACAGACGGCTAATATGTGATTGGATATCATCAGTCACTCATCCATTTTTATTGATGACATACCCAATTAGGGTGATGGTTTCTAGAGCCCTTCCCAGAGAATATAATATGATGCATGCAAGACACTGGATTCAGGATGTACCCCATACACTAAAGACATTTTAGAGTCAGCGCTTCACCTTAACAGCTAGCAAAATGTGAACAAGCGTGAGAGCTCAGTTAACTTGTGCAAGCGGGGAACAGGTTCAAAAGTGTAGGCAATAAGTAAGCTGGATGGCAACACCGCTACCTCCCGAGCCATTTTGGTCTTTATGTTACAGTAATACAGTGATCTGTCGGCACAGCTGCTCAATAGTTAAAAATGTAACATACCTGGATTCAGCAAAACGTCCAGTCTGGCCAAGCGCTGCCGTACCTGAGATTTATCTTACCATCGGCTCATAGATTATTTTGCTGGGCGATATGGCCTAAAATAAAATCTCCGATTTTTTTCACAATAAATCCGATTTTCGATTTTCCCTTCCCCTACTCAAAATCAAACTACAGATGACACATAAATGGTTCAACACAAGTTTTAACTTTATTTTGTTTTNGTTTTTTTTGCCATTGTAAATACTTTTAGAAACTTGTAAAAACTTTTAGCATGTTAATGGATCCCGGCTTTCCACGGTATGTATGGCACCATGTCTTTTGCAATATACATCGCCACAGCGTTTGTTATCGCCTTCCACCGTGCCCCATTCTTATCATATGGCACACAGTTCGAAAACGTGTCAGGGACGGTTGCTTGCTTAACTTTGGATGTTGTGATGGTGCTGCGGCTATTTTCATTTCGCTGGGAGCTGCACTTCTCCCACTCCGCTGTGTGCCTCTGTTTTACATGCTGGAATAAATTTGTCATGCTGCTTCCTTTGGTTGCAACAGTTTTTAAACAGATTTCGCAACGAAGACTTGTTTGGTCTGTGCGCGACGGCGCAAAACCGAACCATTGCCATCAGCCATGTTATTTGTATTTGTACTTGTAAATCCGCTATTGTGTTTGGGTGCGCCGCGCTAATTTACCCGTGAAGAAAGGTGCGTCGCATTAGTTCCGCTTTTGGTGCTCGCCTGTAAAATAAGTAATAAAATCGATTTTCATAAAAACACATCGTCCTGAACTGTAAATTCGAATTAATCGATAAAATCAATTTATCGCCCACCTCTACATGCGTGTTTAGGTCCTTCCTTTTAGTTCCCCCCAGTGGAGTATGAGAGAACCTCAAGAGCTTAATGAAATCCTTAACATATCTGCATGCAATTTTAATTCGGGAGATTTCAACATGCTATGTGTTAGTGGTGGGCGGATCAATCCAAGTATCGATAATATCGATAATAATGTTAGTATTAATATTGATCAATACCAGTTTAATGAGTTAGATACTTCCGTTTCCATTTCTCTCCTGAATGCACTGCTGTTGTCTGTGTAAGCGCTGCTGCTCTGAATTGCCGCTCCCGGCTGTCACGTGACTCAGAAGCCGGTACCTCCGCGCTACAGTATTTATTTACTCATAAACTTTGCCCAAATTCTGTCCTGGGTTTTAACTAATTAATAAAAAAAATCACAAAAACACATAAAGGTAATGAAAATTAATTCAGCTTTAGCAATTTTATGACGCATCCACCTTAATTATCAAAAAGTATCGATATTCGTATTGTATCGGCGATACTTGCCCTATATGCACTTGGTATCGATTCGATACCAAATCTTGTAGTATCGCACACCCTTACTATGTGTGTACTGCAAAGTAAAATTTTAGAATCCGAACAAGACATTTGCTGATTGGTCGAAAAATTGAAAAGGCCACTGCAAATCCAAAGTACTATACTGTAAAAGACCATGGATATCGGAGTTGCCAGGCCCGTGGTTTTCCCGCCCAATTGCGCTATTTAGAAAATACAGTTGCGGGTATTATGAGGTCGTGGGTTGTGGGTTTTTGGGCTGCTTTCACAATGTTCCACGGCAACAGACGGTAAGGTGGAAAGGAAACTAATTATTATGAATGCAAGTGGCTCCTAATGCTCGAGTTATACTGAATCACTAGCTACCCAACCGCCATAAAAATCGAAGAAGAAGCAGTAGAAGACTAGCCGCCCAAAGTCAGAGATCGACGCACACAGAAAGTATTAAGGCTTTCAGACTCTCACGCGGTCAATCTTAGGGAAAATCTATATTATTCCATTACAAACCTAAAATTAGGTTCAGCAGAAGCGTTGGGGTAGTTTGCAAACCCTGACTATTTACAGGGTAGTAAAATTGCTACATACATGTAAATACATGTTAAGACTTTAACTCAAATTTAAATCATTGTTTTTCACTGTGGTTTTAAAAATGTTAATGTGATCATCATGCAAAATACTGGTTTATTTCTTTGAGAAACGGTATACTGGGAGTTAAAATACTGGGCTAGGTTCAGCTTCCGTTGGACGGATTTAAGCAGACCTTTGGCTGATATACATAGGTGCCGCTTTTGGCCTGTCTGTATACGTAATTGCTCCGGCGCTTGACGGGGTTCTGACCAGTACTAGTGGGCTTTTGTGCTGCTTATGGATGTTCTAACAAAAGAAATGATAAAACTAAACAACAGACAATCACATTTCACTTTTCAATTTTAGTACATAATACACTGTATACATTTAAAGTTAATATTTATTTTAAAAATTATAAGAAAAATTACACCATGATAATCATTTTACACACAGTAAGAAAATCGGTTGAAAATTAGGTGATTTGTTGTGATTTTAAGTGTGGATAAACCTTCGCTTCTAAGGCGGACATGCATTAAGGAGGATCCAGTGGCTACCCCGTACCAAGATGGCGATTGCTTTTCTGCATCGCTCCAATGAACAGCAGTGACGGCATCTATGTGTATATCAATGGTAAAAACCTTGCCATCCCACAAAATCACCATCCATTGCTTTTATTAATATACACTTTAATAACGGAAATACAGAAAACAGAAATTGAAATTCGCCGAACTGAGATCATCAATTGTTACTTTAAAAGCTGTGCCATTTTAATGTGTGTTGCTTTTCAAGAATATCGAGTAAATAGTATGCTTTAAAACCATTGTAAAAATTGTCATTGTATTTGAGTGAGCTCTACATGTGCTTTCCAAGGCAATCATATGATCATTGTAGTCCTTATTGTCGGACTCACTCTACACAGACCTTTCAGTGAAAGCTCCCGTCATGTGTAATCTCACCCCCTTCCAAATTTAATTTCCCTTGTGTCCCTCTGATGTTTAGCTGCCGATTTTATTTTATTTTTTAAAAAAAGCTGTTTGCTCACATTTAAAAAAAAAAAGTTTTTCGTACTTAAAAATCATTTTCATTTGTGTTGATGGTATAACCGACATTAATGTATATTTAGCTCGATAGAGATATATTTTGTCGATTTTTACCGTATATTTATCTCGATAAGAATTGTTTCACCGACATGACTTTATTAGATTAATTATGTATATTTAGCTTGAATTCACATAAATTCATATACATAGTGTAAGTGCAGCTTTAACAATACAGCTTAATATTTCAATATGAATTACCCAGCCATACAGGAAGCCAAGATGCTTTTGCTGGTGATCATGAATCCCTTGGAATATCTCAGTAATGAACAATTCATAGAGAAATACAGGCTGGCCTGGAGTGAAATAACAAGCCTCCTTGGTCTGGTGCAGGATAAATTGAAGGGAGGAACACACCAGAATTTTGCCCTCAGCTTTGCTATGCAGCTTCTGACAGCTCTGTTTCTATGCCACAGGTGGATTCCTGCAGACCATAGGTGATGCACTGTGTCCTGCAACTGTGCATGCATTGATCATTGTTGTACCATCTACACAACTACATACAATGTCCGGCAAGTGGGGATGCCTCGCATGACACTAAAATTGTTTTTCATACCATTGCAGGCATACCTGGCATTGTAGGTGGTAGAAAAATTATAAATCAACCTCTCTAATAACTCTAGTTAAGCCACTTAGAATAAAACTCCGGACCTCTCAGTTGGTGAGCAAAGTTATCTGTTTTATTCGAGTAATCCAGCAAAGCGCTCTCGTCACACTCCCGGAACCAGTTACCAAATACCCCAGCACCAAGAGCAAGCAGTTGATAAACCATAACTATCAGCTCCAGATAAGGACTTCTAAGTCCTGATTGGTCACAAAACACCAACATACAGTACCAAGCCCAAACGTATACATAACAAACACAATTCTCCTGCTCTATTGGTTCACCTTGGTTGCAAGGTAAATCCACCCATTTTGCTAAATTTTCCAAAACATGTCTCGATTGCTAAGCTCCTACTTGAGATATGGATATAGAAATTGATTATATAGACATTGAATCATTGTAAATACATGGTTAACATATGATTAACGTGATAACTACTTACTCATTTGTACTACCGCATAACATACTGCATATGGCCTATACTGCGACTACTTTATAACTACAACTCTTTGTGCACCAGCTGGGGCAGCTTCAAATCCCTTCGTGCAGGCAGTTTCTGCCCCCCTACTCCGCTGTCTGTCTCTCCAAGGTCTGATCTCTCTTCAGGGTCTGCGGAACTAACTGCATGCAAGCTATCATGAGGCGAGGACAGAGTATTCAAAACAATCTCTTCTTGCCTAAGGCCTAAGACATAACAGACCCAATTTGCCTCCTCTCGTGGGCCTACCGATGTCATATTTTCTTTCCACAGGTGCAGTGGATGGAACCCTATTCATATTTGCAGCCCCTTAAATCCCACCTGCACCTGTCAAAAAGGGTTCTTGTATACTGTATATTGACCTTATATATCTACTAGTGAGCAACTTTATATTTGCATGATTGTAAGATAAAAATTGTGTAATTGTTTTAACCTAACAATATGCATATGGTTTATGTCAGCCCTTTAAGTTCTTTCCCGTGGGCATATATTTATTGATTTTGCATATTTAACTGTTTCTGTGTGTTACCATTTGTGATGAGTCTGCAATAGCTTTTCTTGTGAGTGTCGATGGGTTGTCAGATGGATAGGGTTGAGATAGGGTTACTTACTATGAAATGCTCTTTCACCATGATATGCAAAATCACAGTTACATTTTTTATTCTATTGGTGACACTTCAAATGTGGCATTCTGAATAACAGTGACATGCACTGACATTTCAGGCAGGTGCTCGAACAGGGGGCATGGCCAACAGGTACTCTTTGCTGCCGTAAATATTTATGATCGCGTTGGCAGGACTTTGGCAATGTAAAGAAATCTACGACATGCAACAGACTGGCGCTGTGTATGTAATCTCTGCCAAAAACTTGTACCAGATATAACTGGAAATACTATGAATTTATTGAAGCATTGCCATGCAATGGAACATATAGTATCCAAGCACTTACAGTCACAAACACCAGCAGTGTATGCTGTTTATGTTAACATGCTGTGTAATTCATAATGAAATATTAAGCTGTATTGTTAAAGCTGCATCAATTCCATTTAAATTCTACTTCCTTATATTCAAATTGGAATTGCAATTCTGCACCTTGTTTTCAATCGATTTATGAATTGAATTTGATTTTCGAGTCATTCTCAAGTCAATTCTGACATGATATAATTTTCCTCAAGGGTGCTCAATAAAAGTTTGATATAATGTAAGAGCCAATATAATGACATCACTTCCTCTGTGACTGCTTGTCAGGACCTGCAGTGGAGCACAAGCACAGACACAGCAGTAAAAACACAAACAAGGGATTTATTGAGCAAACAAGATAACGCAATAGGGCAGGAAGACAGACCAAAGACAACACAGTCAAAACAACTGACCAACTCACCAGGAGAGCAGGTAAGTCCAAAGCAACCTGGCCAATAAAGGGATTCCAGCAAAATCCAAAACAAAAACTCATGAGAAATACACACAGTAATAGTCCACAGAGAAATCAGAAATGCCAGCAGTGGCGTTTTATTGGCACTGACCAAAATAACCTGGCCTGTCACCAATCACAGTGTTTTGAGAATGGACAAGCTATGCACAACAAAGGCACAGCAAGGTTTACTGAGTTAGAAGAGCACATACTACTGTTCTGGTAATACAAGTGAGTGATGGGCGCTCGCTCAGAGGCGACTTCGGTGTCGGTGAAGAAAGCGCAGCAATCAGCGTGGTTAGTGTGGATAAGCCAAGTTAAAAGACGTTGGGGTGTTACGGTTTAAGTGGTGATCCTGTTAACTGATGACAAGCATGCGCTCACTTATTTCTGCAGAAGACGGTAGCAGACTCATCAAGCTTCAAGAGCCAAATAGAAATGAATAAATGGACCTATTCTGCAGGTTGGTAACATACAGTATGACAAACATGCATGCAATTGTAGTAAAGTTGATGTAGAAAATTGAATTCCTTATCAAAAAAAGGTTTGGTCTTCAAGTATATATTTTAAGTGACCTGAAGAATGTGCATGGACAATCCTGAATATTTACATTTTTATTTCACTTTCCCTAAATTAATGAATCTGCCATCACCACACATCTGCAAGAATACGTAATCACTGGAGTGGACTGAACTTAAGCCATAACACCAGTACTTTGGCAATGCAAAGAAGCATACAACATGCAACAGATTGGCGCTGTGTATGTGATGTCTGTCATAAACTGGTTCCATTTATAATTGGAAATACCATGAATTTCTTGTAGGACTTGAAAGATTGCCATCCAGTAGAACATACAGAAAACAAGCACTCAGTCACAGACAACAGCAATTAGTGCTGCAACTTTCAGTTGCATCCTGTATTGGTTCAAAACAGACACAGCATTTTATTTTTCAATATGAGGTGGGTGGCAACTCTACCAGCAATGTCAAACCAGCCCCCTGTAATATGAGCAGTGAGGCAGTCAGATATATAATTATATATATCATTTTTGATTTATTTATTAAAATTAGACATAAGTTTGCAGTCTATTCAATTGGTCATCTTTTAAATGTTCTATTAGGGGAATCCCAAGAGAATTTTAAGCAAAAAGAAATATTGATTAGTTGTTAAAAAATAATGATTTATAAATTATATCATGATAATTATTGATATCGACCTACATGAAAAATATTGTGATAAATTATTTTGCAGTATTGCCCAGCCCTAGTGCATAGTGTACAGTACAGTACTGTTTATTTAGAAATTGGTAATAAATAGACTTTTTATCCTATCGTTCAAGCTAGCAGACTGTTATGGTTTCAGGTTACGGGTGCCAAAGTATTATAGGCGAATTGACGGTTGACGGTTACATGTCATTCTTATGTAGACTGCTTCAAGTAAAGTGTCGCCAAATTTTTTTTTTAATTTACTGCCAATAGAATCAGTTGTGACCTCAGTTACTCATGTCTCAGCAATACTGTCTCTGTCACCCTTCTAGAAACAGCTCACCTGCTTTTCCTCAATTCTTCTTCTGAATCTGCTGGTGAATGATGCCTAATTGGTGGGGCATGGTCAGCTCATCCATGTGAAATCCCTTTGCTGCATGCCAAACCTATTTGTTTGCACCTTGCATGAATGTCTTTTTCAATAAATTGCACATAGCACATTTCATCCAGTCTTTTAGAAATTAATTAACCGAGGAATGTACTTAATCATTAATGACTTTAATGATAAAAGCATCAGTTAAGTGCTGTTTTGGAGCTGTTCCTCACTTATCTGAGAAATTACCCAGAAATTATTTGTAAATTAAATAGAAAAAGCAGGCTTTGCTTTTTTTTTCCAAAATTAATAAAGTTCAGTCTACAGACGATAGTATTTTTTATCCATTTACATATCAAGCCTTTCCAACCTAATTGCTTCATGATGTCCTGACACACGTCTTTATATTGTTTACTTAACATGAACACAGCCCAGTGAAGATAACCATAATTGAATTTATTTGAGCTTCAACATTTTGTGGCAGCACGGTCTACTTGGTAACTGTGATTTGATTAGCATTTCGTCTTATTGGTCATAGCCAAGTCTTTGTTTTTAAAAGTAAAAATGTGCATATTTTTACAAACTGATTTTTTTTCACTTACAGATCCTCCTCATCCTCTACTACAACACTTAATTGTAGTGGAAAATGAAGCTTTGACCTGAAATGGGAAGGTTATCTTGCACTGTCAATCACCCATTGATTTAGAAGACTTTCCATGGTTACATTGTAAGTTCCTTTTGGGTTAAACAATGCAGTGATTGACAGCATATGATAATCCCTACAGTACCTCCCTGGACTTTAAAGCCTTGCTCCTCCTATCACCCTAATTTCTTCTATCCCTCCTGAATGCTGCAAATCTCTGACTCATGACTCATAAAACATTCTTCCATTGCTGATGTTAAAGTAAATATTACAGAGTGATTCTTGAAAATGGACACTTGATACTATCCATCCATCCATCCATCCCTCTATCCACTTCCTGTAACTGCTTGTTCTATTCAGGGTCACGGGTGGTCCAGAACCTATGCTAAAGGCTACGGGTGCAAGGTACAAAACAACACAGGATGGGATAAAAATGGATACTAATCCCATTGAAAGATTTCACATATTTTCAAATAAAGTAGTTTTACATGCACCTTGGACTACTTCATCAGAGAAATATTTGTCTTGCTGATGTAATCAAGAGACATTTCTTTTCAGTTTTATGGTAGTCTTTGGGGGATAGTATTTATGTGCAAATTGTCAGTGTTTTCTTTATATCAGTATCAACACCCCCACACACGTATCTCTCATTGTCTTCAGAAAATCCATGCTTTCTTTTTGCTACAGATAACTGTGAACCTAAAAAACTAATTGAGAACAAAGGAATAGGTTCATATGCTTCTTGTCTGTGAAAATCTACATACAGTGGTACCTCGGTTCTCGAACTTAATCCGTTCCGGACACCGGATCGAATCCTAAAAAGTTCGAGTTCTGATTTAATTTTTCCCATAAGAAATAATGGAAAACCAATTAATTGGTTCCCGGCCCCCCAAAATTACACCTAAATATGTTTTTTTTAGCATTTAAACACAAAATGAACAGGGTAAAACAAGAAGAGAATTTTTTTCTTGATGGCTTCCAAAACGATAAAGATCTTATCCCAACATGTCCTGCCCCGATCGTCCGGTCCTTCCGTGTGCCACGCCCCCTCGTTAACCTCGTGTGGAATCCCCATGTAATCAGCTGTTTCTGGTTGTTGTTATTAGTCCTCTGTATTAAGTCCGCGTTTCAGTTTGTTTCCCCAGTCCGTTCATTGGGTGCGTTCGACTTGCTTACAGCGCTGGTTTAAAGCAACGCATTCTGATCCTGACGCAATGCGTTAAGGTTAGATGCATTGCGAGTTTGCGACCTCTCACCCAGCTGCACAAACTGGAACCGCCTCCGTGACGACACACCTTTGCCCTTATTGGCTGAAGAGTTTAGTTACACGCATAATGTTTGTATCCCAGCCTCCCAGGCAGTTCCGATGCGTAATCTGCTATTTCTCCCGAATATTACGTAAAGCAGTGAGAATTGGTTTTCAGTTAATTTACCTGGTAAAATAAAGTTTAAATAAATTGCATAAATGCTCTAATAGTACACGTAAGTTAGTGATTGTTATTGTTAGTTAGTGTAATGTTGCGCTGCTTTATTTGGTTAATCGTCCAGTCTGTGAAGAAGGCATTCAAGTAAGAATTGCATTGTAGTATGACTCATTTCCTGGCGCATTCACGGTTCGACTTATGATATTCAGATCGAGTTCTAGGTCAAACTGGTTTTTTGTCGACTTTCGAGAAATTCGAGTTCTAGTGAGTTCGAGACCCGAGGTACCACTGTATATAGAAATGTGTTGCCTTACAACAGCCCTTCAGGCAGTATGGAATACTTTTATACATATAAGAATTTTTTAGTAATACTGCAAAAAGATACAGCATGCTAGCAAAGCAATCACCCCTTTGATCATTTTATTACCTGAAATCTATAACAGAAGTGCAGAATTAGCTTACTTTGCACGTAACATTCAGGTCATGTGCCCACAATAAATAAATAAATATATGTGTGTGTGTGTGTATATATATATATATATACACACATAAATATATATATATATACACACACATATATTTATTTATTTATTCATTTATTTTGGGCATATGACCTGAATGTTACATGCAAAGTTACGTATATATATATATACTGTATATATATATAGGTATAGATATAGATATATATATATATAATGCATTCTGTTCATTCCAGAGAAGCCATGTGGAAGTATTCGTGGATCAGCCCCCCATCGGGCTAGGCAAACCCCCATTAGCACCCCGTGGTCCTGAAACCAAAGGTTTGTGAAGTGTGCTTCAGTTGAGTAACATTAATTAAGCCTTAATGCCTGGGTTTTTTAAGGTAAACTGTTATAATATTTTTGTTCTTGTTTTTCTCAATTATCTCCCACACCAGTGCCAAGACAGGATCATACATCTTCTTGGGTCTGCATCTTGTCAGCCATGTTTCTGGCTTAATTGAAGTTACCATGTGGATTAACGTGCCTCTAGGCGGTAGGAGGCATAGGAGAAATACATTTTAATTTTATTTGATTTTAAGATCTGCATCTGTTGGGACAAAAATCAGATCCACATGACACAGGGACTGGAGAAACTTATTAGCACCCTTAGGTTATAACAGGATGGGTGTACAGACCGGAAATCCAAATCAAAATTATAAGCTCTAATATAAGATGAACAAAAAGCACAGCTATGTAAGCTGTCTCAAAAAATAGCACTGCTTCTTGTCTATGTGCTTCTTTTTACAATGCTTTGTGTAACTGTTCATGCTAACGTTAAAAATCATAAGATGGTCCAAATTCTGTGATCAGAATGTATGGAAGATCATAAGATGGTCCAAATTCTGTTGACAAGAACATAACTTAATTATAATTTAATTTTAATTATCTTGTCTGCCATATTTCATTCTGGAACCTATAGTTACCACAAATCTTCCAGTCCCCACCATATATTTCTCTCAACACAGAGCACTTACTGTCCATAAATCACTGTATTGTAACATTTAGAGCCCCTTATTCACCTCCTGTAACTAATTCCAAGACAAGCTTTTGATTATTGAAAAGATTTAAGATTAACTTGCACTTATGGCTTTTGCTTTCAAACAGGTTTGAAAGTGAATGCATGGCAGTCCTTTAAGTTAGCTCACACTACGTGATAGGAATCGATTTATTACTAGATAGTACAGAAAAATCTGTAGCATTTGGAGTCAATCCTATTTTTTTCTTCATTTCTGTAGTATATTTTGCATGAGCGACATTCATTTGCAAAACCTACAGTTCTTTAACATCAGGTCACTGCTGGCCTTTGTGTCAGAGAAGTTAAATTCTTTAATTGTATGCTGAGCTGCATCTGGGGAATAACTAAAACTGCTCAGTGAAAACCTTGAATGTGAATTCTTACATGAGAGGAGTTCCTATAAAATGCTTTGGGCCAGTTTTAATGTGTGCTCATACTCAGACTATAAAAGGTGTATGGAAGCACAAAACGACTCTTTTGGAATTTCGAAATTGTCCTATAAACAGAATCAATTCATTTTATATGTTGTATGTTAATTAACTGATGATCTATGGGTGGACAGATGCGATGCAGCAATGTTTTTTTTTCCTGAAGTGAAGAAGCAACATCAATAAGTGGTGCAATGATATCTGATGACAGTCAGTATTGATTTGTAAAAAGCCATTCTCTGATACTGCAATGTTTAAAATATCTTAAACATTTGCATCATCTTTTTCATTTAATGAAATATTGTATTTGTGCTTTTCAAGCAATTTTTAACCAAAAATCATACACGCATTTTCTGAAACTGCTTGTGGGGGGTCTGGAGCCTATCAGCACAAGGTAGGGAACAACACAGGATGGGGTGCCGACCCATTGCAGGACACACTCACACACATATGGGCAAATTGGTAACCACAATTAACCTCAGCATGTTTTAGGACTATGGGGGAAAACTGGAATACTTGGAGGAAACCCCATGATGAAATGGGGAGAGCATGCAAACTCCACATACATGGAACCCTGGCAGAGACTTGAACCCCAGTTCTAGAGGTGCAAGCTGACAGTGCTAACCACTGCACCGCCATGCCACCCCCAACTAGATACTGCCCCTGCATTTATCTGCATTAATCCATCCATTCATCACCTATAACCACAAAAGGGTTCTATGCATTATGTTCCAAAGGTTGTGGGTTCAAATCCTGTAGCTGTCGCAGTAATCATATCACTGCAGATTTATCCCCAGCTGCTTTATGGGTGCTGGGTACTGGCTGACCCTGTACCCTGACCCCAAAGCTTGTCCTTTCCACATATGTGTCTGTGTCATCCATAGAGAGCAAGATAGAATATATGAAACCCACCCAGTTTATCCACAGGGATGAATTATGTGCCACTGCTCTATTCTTATCCAGAACAGAATCACAGTGGCCAGGAACCCATCCAAGGAAGCACTAGGCATAAGGCAGGGGGTGCCCTGGGTGATATGCCAGTCCATAACAGGGTACACAATCAATCATCCACTATGGGCAATTAAAGAATGTGCATTAGGAAGCTAGAGTGCCCAGGGAAAACCTGTTCAAGCCCAGGAAGAGCATACAAACTCCACACACAATGAGCTGGGACAGAAATCATATCGACAGTTCTGCATGGTGTGAGGTCGCAGTGCTACCCACTGAGTCACTGTGCCAGCTGCTAAATTAGTATGTGCGATAAAAATAGGTTGTGTTTGGTTTGGAAAGTAGTTGAAGAAGTTTTTGCCTTATTCTGACAGCATGATAAACAGCTCCTGCTCAGGTAATGAACAAAATGCAGTTTCTACCATTGAATATGATGTAAAGTTATATATTCTGCTGTAGGGCTAATGGACACAGAGGTGACTATGAAGGGAAATTTACTAAGCTTATTGACCATACTGTATATGTATTTACCAAAACTGTGCTACATATCACTTTATTACAGACATTTAAAATTGTATTGTTAGTTCCCTGACTATAAAACTTGCCAAGCGCTGGAAATTTGCCTAGCGAGGCGGAGGTGGAGGTAGGAAATGTGTAGAAAAATATAGGAAAATTATGTACTTCTGTAACTAAATATAGGACACAGTGTTTTATTTATCGATATGGGACAATCTGCACACCACAACGGATAAGCTTTTTAAACTAATTAATAGCCCGGCATAGTTCATCTAAAAGTTCTCAGTGGTTCTTTATTTTTTATCTGAAGTTTTGGCCACTGCCTGTGAATTCACTCCCATATAGTAAGTGACATGAAACATGGAATTCATAGCTAAACTGTTAAGGCTGTCAGCAATTTCCTTGTCTTGAAAGATAATTAACTTCAGTAAGCCCTTGTCTTCCTTGACCATTCACACAAGTTGGTTAAGTTTGAAATTCCCACCAGGAAGTTGTACTTGAACGGCTGACATTCTGGTTGCTAATTGGAAGATTGAAATTGGTGATGTGACTATGTCAGACTTGTGTGCACCCTATTACTGCAACGGCAAAGCTGGTTAAACACTGCACTGTAGTAGCCATGTTTTTTCATTTAATTTTATTTTAAACTGTTGGAAATATAGACCAGAAGTCTGAATAAATTCTTTTGTCATCTTGCTTTACAGTATGTGTAGCCTCAGCCTACTTCCCTGACAAAGGCGAAAATTGCCAGTTAGTTACTGTCGGATATTGAGACCGGGTTACTTTTCTGATATTGTCATATACTATTAATATTGTTATATCCCCTAATTCACATAACCTAGGCACAATTTAGAAATATCAATTAGACTAACTGCATTATTTTGGACTGTGGGAAGAAACCCACACAACACAGCAAGAACAAACTCCACACACATAGACTGGAAGCAGGATTCAAACAATACTTGACATATGAGGCAACAGTGCTTTTCAAATTAGAGGGAAAAAGATCACTAATCTAAAACAATACATAGCCATAAATGTTTTTTTTACATCGTTCTGCTATAATGTTGCAAATCCCTCTGTAATTATAGATAGTCGTACACTTGAGGTAAAAATGTCAACAGTCACCAATGAATGGAATCAGTCAAATCTTGTTCTTCGCTAAGTGGTTTGTGGTGAGGTCAGGCACGGATGTTGGACATGAAGGCCTGGCTTGCAATCTCTATTCTAGTGCATCCCAAAGGTGTTCGATGGGGTTGCGGTTAGGGCTCTGTGTGGGCCAGTCAAGTTCTTCCACACCAAACTCACCCAACCATGTCATTTTTTACCTTGCTTTGTGCACTGGGGCCCAGTCATACTGGGACCTAAAAGGGCCTTCAACAAACTGCTCCCACAAAGATGGAAGCATAGAATTGCCTAAATGTCCTGGTTTGCTGAAGCCTTAAGAGTTCCTTTCACTGGAACTAAGGAGCCTAACCCAACCCCTGAAAAACAACCCCACACCATTATGCCTCCTCCACTAAACTACAGTATACACTTGGCACAATGCATTCAGGCAGGTAACATTCTCCTGGCTTCTGTCAAACGCAGACTTGTCCATTAGACTGACAGACAGAAAAGCATGACTCATCACTCCACAGAACACGCTTCCACTGTTCCAGAGTCCAGTGGTGGTGTGCTTTACACCACTCCATCCAACATCTGGCATTGCGCTTGGTGATGTAAGGCTTGTATGCAGCCACTCGGCATAGATGCCCATTCCAGGAAGCTCCCCGCTAAGAGGTTTTGTGCTGGGGTTAATGCCAGAGATAAACTGGAACTCTGCAGTTATTGAGTCAACAGAGTGTTGGCAACTTTTATGCACTATGTGCCACAGTACCTGGTGATCCTGCTCTGGTACTTTAAGTGGTCTGCCACTTCACGGCTGAATCTCTTTTGTTTCTAAACCCTTCCACTTGCAATAATACTACTTACAGTTGGCTTTGGAATATGTAGCAGGGAAGAAATTTCACAAACTTACTTATTACGACCACACTTGAATTCAGTGAGCTGTTCAGAATGACCCATTCTTTCACAAATGATTGTAAACCTGACTGCATGGCTGGGTGCTCGACTTTAAACGCATGTGACAATAGGTCTGAATGAATAATAATAATAAAATAATAATAATAATAATTACCTGTACCTCAGTCCCAGTATTTTTGTCCAAATAGTGTACCACGATGAGTGAGAATACAGGATCTTCTAACAACATTGAATTTTTAAACGCATAGTGCGAACAGCTGATTTTACAATATACAAAACATAACTTTTTCAGTATATTTTTTTCTAGTCTTGAATTATCTAGTTTCAGTGAGCCTGTTCCCATTGTAGCCTCAGTTTCCTGTTGTCATGACATGCTGGTACAGAGCAGGGAAGCAGGCACAGGAGTCCAAAGATACGGGGAAATGCAGGGTTTATTCAGGAAAGGCAACTCGGGGGACATGGAGTGCTACACAGAACTGACTTCACAACGGCACAACGTCAATGACCAGACTAACAAAAGGCACACAGACACGGGCTTAAATACACCATAGTAATTAACATGACTAGGAACAGCTGGAAACACAGGGATTCCACATGAGGTAGAGAAGGGGGCGGGGCACACGGGAGGATCAGGATGACCAGGGCATGACACCTGTTTTTTGTTGGATGGTGAGGAGCTTAGTGTGGTCTTCTGTTGTAGCCCATCCACCTCAAGGTTCAATGTGATTACAGCATTGTTAAGAGTGGTTATTTGAATAGCCTTCCAGTCAGCTTGAACCAGTCTAGTCATTCTAATCTGACCAGTCTCATCAACAAGGCATTTCTACTGATGGAATCCAAGGATGATTTTTTTCGGCACTCTTTAGAGACTTTTGTATATGAAAATCCCAGGATATCAACAGTTTCTGAAATACTCCAACCACCTCATCTGGCACGAACAACTATGCCACAGTCAGAGTCACTTACATCGCGTATTTCCTCTTCAGATATTTCAGCTAACCATTAGATGAAGCTTGACCCAGTTCTGACGATTTTATGCATTGCGTGACTGCCAAATGATTTGCATAAATGCGCAGGAGTTTAGGTATTCCTAATAAAGTGGCATGTGGGCAAACTGCAGAAATATAAAACTGTGACATTATTAATAATGTTGATTGAATAAAAAGGTCAGTAGCACTCTTTACTACCCAAACCTGTCCTTATTTTCTTCATCTGCTACATTTCCTCATTTGCTTAATTTTAAGTAGGGACATTATCCCTGGCATGTTCAGACT